TCCCCTTCCTTTTCCCTGTCCCTACACCCTTCCCCCTTCCTTTTCCCTGTCCCTACACCCTTCCCCCTTCCTTTTCCCTGTCCCTACACCCTTCCCCCTACCTTTTCCCTCCCCCTTCCCTGCCCATCCCTTCCCACTAGTAGCTACCACTCTTTATGATAAAGTACAGTCAAGTGCCTGCACCCTCACATCCACACTGCCTAAGGAATCTATGAAATGAGACACTCAGGCAAATGTTATGAAATGTATTTCATTTCTTTGCCAGTCCTTACTTCAATCCTGTCCTTCAATACTATTTCATTTCTCATGCCCACCATCATTTCATTCCCACCTGGTCTTCAATTTCATTGCCCCCCAGCCTTATTTCATTGCTGCCTGGCTTTCAATTTCATTGCCCCCAGCTATATTTCATTGCCCCCCAGCATATTTCATTGCAATTTCATTGCTGCCTAGCTTTCAATTTCATTGTCCCCACCTATATTTCATTACCCCCCAGCCATATTTCATTGCTGCCTGGCTTTCAATTTCATTGCCCCCAGCTATATTTCATTGCCCCCCAGCCTTATTTCATTGCAATTTCATTGCTGCCTGGCTTTCAATTTCATTGCCCCCAGCTATATTTCATTGCCCCCCAGCATATTTCATTGCTGCCTAGCTTTCAATTTCATTGTCCCCAGCTATATTTCATTACCCCCCAGCCATATTTCATTGCTGCCTGGCTTTCAATCTCATTGTCCCCAGCCATATTTCATTGCCCCCCAGCCATATTTCATTGCTGCCTGGCTTTCAATCTCATTGCAATTTCATTGCCTCCCAGCTTTATTTCAGTGCAATTTCATTCCTGCTTGACCTCCAATCTCATTACCCCCTTTCCATTCACATGATGATTACATCAGCCAAGCACAAAGAATTTGCAGAAATGCCAGACCATCACCATAAGACCAATGTATTCTCTATGTATTGTTTATATCATGTACTGATATTGAAGGGGATATTGACTATGAAAAGCAAGGTTAACAAATATTGATGAGCCACGACGAAGAATCTCTTAAGTACAATAACGATGTAGTCACGTGACGTAGTAGCTACGTGTGAGGTCACAAAATTTCACCAGAACTACCAAAAAGCATGTTGAATGCTCCAGTCAACGACAACTAGGAAAGACAATTGTTAACAAGCAAAGAGGTAATACAGGAAAATGGCATACCTCTCACAGCATGTTGAATACTATACCTATATCCAGTCAACGACGGCTAGGAAAGGCAATCATTAACAAGCAACGATCACGGTAACACTGGAAAATAGCATACCTCCATTTCTGCAGAGGCTGATCTTCCACCTCATTGCCCTGACAGTCATCATCACAGTGCCGCTTCTGAACGGTCAATGCGAGAGAATCCTGACCATCCGTCATCTGCCGGATAACCCAGGAGAGGTCATCCACGACAGCCCATGCATTGGCATCACGTTCGTTTTGCTGGCTCTTGATCCACCACGAAAGACCCATCACCACAACGTAAATGCCTGATGTGCCCCCTTTCTTCAAAGCCACCCACGTTTCGGCCTTCGGAGTTTCGCGAACAAGGTCAAGTGGGCCGTTTGCACCTTGGAACTGGCACCAGGAAGGCTGGAGTCCTCCCCACCATTCCATAAAGTGAGGACCATACACATCTTGCTTGATGGAAGGAACGACGTCCTTCTTCTTGCTTCTAACCCAGTCGGAGATCTCTTGTGGTCGCGATTTCGTCGACAGATTCTGGTTGTCAAAGTGAAAGATCAGCTATTGTTTAACTGACAAGAAATATTGGAAACTTACACCATTCGCGGGATGACCAAACTTCTCAAAACCGACAAGATTTGTCACCAAATCCTGCCACACTCGATCCGCGGCTACACCACGCAGGTAGCCAATCATCAGAACGAGATACGATGGTAACTCGCTGTCGTCGGTGTCACTATTGCGTTCGCCGCCGGTGGGTTTCTCTTGAGCAGGTTCCGTTGACTGATGAGCGAGATCTCCGCTGATATTGGATGGACCACCAATAGGACATGTCAGTTCACTCGAAGCGGGTTTCTCTTGA